CCAAGCTTCTCAGACCACTTCTTCGGTGGACTTGAACCTCCCTACTGAGAGCGCTAATTCTTTGTCACCCCGAAAACGCAAGCGAGATGCATCACCGTGAGAGTTTTTGTCATGCTGGAACAGCAGACGACTTGTCTGCTTAATTCGTTTTCCCAATTGACATTTTTGGGACACTCATCATTGCTGGATTAGAGCGCCTGCACCACTGAAGTGGAACCGTCTTTGCGCATTGCAAAACAGCGCATAGGAGCGTTACGCTCGGTTTTATGTCTCTTTCGCCCTTTCTCTCTCCCCTCTCTCTCTCGGTCTCTCGTGAAGCCGAAGGCGTTTTTCCTTTTTTACTCATGTGGTGCCGCCAGCCGTTTCCGTCTTGATTTCTCGACACACCGGCATGGCTTCCCGTCAAGACAACGGGGTACCATATGATGATCTCCCTGATGACGCCAGCTCCTGGTCTTCGGCTTTTGATCCTCCCAAAGACTCGGCACCCACAGAGGTGGCGTCTTGGGTTAAGAAGTCCTCCAACAAGTGCAAGAAGACCAAGAAGTCCAAGAAGTCAAAAAGGCTGAAAAAGGACCGGTTACCAAGTAAGTCTCCGAAGTCCATGAAGTCTAAGAAGGACAAACGTGAGCGTTCACCTGTTCCCTCTGAAGCAAGTGATATCACGCTTGGTGATCCGATGCAGTTTCACCGAAATCCTGCAGCACGGTTAAAGGCTTGTGCAAAAATGCTGGTCAGAGCTAACCTCCGCTGTGCTTGCCATTTTTGGTATGTTGCACAGTGTCCCAACCGAAACGTTTGATTCTTTTTTGATTTGGACACCGGAAGTGTACAGGATTACATGTCACTTGCTGGAAAAACTACCAGAGCAGAGTAACATGTCAGAAACGTGCAAGTGCTGAGCATCGCAGTGTTTTCGGCTAAGAGACGAGATCTTCTGTGTAAGCAAGCATGCCGACGGTGCCGCCTTCGGATCCTAACATCGATGAATTCTTGAGAACGCTCACTCATTCAGCGCGTGTGAGATTGCTCAACTTTGTATCACGACCTCAACTTCGTCAAGCTCTCGTACTTCAGTTGACAGCTTTTGTGCGTGACGGGACAGAAAGAATGCTGCAGCAAGAGTTGCGTCGCTTGGATGAGAGGGATAGAGCAAACCTGCGTGAAGAACGTCCTAGCAGTAGCGGAGCTTCAGGATCACGTTCGTCCAGATCCCACCCCTATGCACCTCCACCCTCTCTGCCAGCAACGAGGAGTACACCGAGTGCAGGGAGCGACAACCCTTCGTCCAGTTCTGCACCTCCCCCCCTACCTCCCCCTGGCCCTCCCCCTCTTCCCCCTCCTCCCCTCCCTCCCCCTCTTCCCCCTCCCTTTTTCCCCCCGCCCAGTGCCAGTGCTCCTGCCTTTCCACCCCCGGTACCACCAGCAAGCTTGGTGCATCGTGTGTCTGAACCTTCTTTGGTGTCCAGTGCTGCTTCGTCGTCGGCCGCACCTACATCTTCAGCCGCGTCAGGTGCTCCGATTAGATCCAAACCTATGCCTACCAGAAGACGTGCATCACGCCGATCTCGACGCAGTCAATCGTCTGATCTTAGCTGAGTATGCCCGATGTGACAGGATTTCACTTGTATCTGTAACGCATGCGAGTGCTGAAGTGAGAAAAACTGTGCAGTGGACGCCAGTGCTGAGAGTACTCGTTCATTCGTGTTGTGGTACACACCAGAACAGTGTTGCAGCACCCTGCTCAAGTCTCGTTCCATTGCGCTAATGTCGAGCAACTCAGCGTGCGATCCGTTGGCACCTCTTCAACGCTGGATTTCCTACACACAACAGGAGCTGATCACAATCAGAGGTGAATTCCGTCATTTTCGCGAAGAAGCATTGTCCGTCCAGAAGATCCAACAAGCCCAACTCGACGTGCTCACCACACAAATCAGGGACATTGAGGCTCAGGTAGCGGAAGTCATGTCCGCCACCACAGAACTGTTTCAGAAACTTCAGAAGACCAACGAAGTGGTGGGGAACTTGCTGACGGATTTGCATTCTCTTCAATCTGTGACTACTCATTGTGTTAATTCTCTTCAACTACAAGAAACAACAGAGTTGCCCCCAACGCTTCCAGCAGAAATTGAAGTCTCAGAGTGAAACGTGAGCAGTTGCAAACAAGCGTCTGTGCGCCAGTGTCACTGCAAGGGTGTTGCAAGGGATGTGCAAGGGACGTGCAAGTGACGTGCAAGGGATGTGCAAGGGATGTGCAAGTGACGTGCAAGTGATGTGCAAGTTCCTGCTTAAAGTGAAAGAAACTAACGAGTGCGCGTGTGCAGTGCTGTGCATCTTCAGGTTTCTGCATGAGCCGTCTTGAGTTGCAGCATTTGACATCCAGTGAAATTGTGTAGGTTGTCCAACATGAAGCGCAAGGCTCGCGAAGCCAATTTGCCTTGGAGTACGAGCCGCGACTACAATTTTCGGATGTGGGTTCGTGTATGCAGTCGGGCAACCGGACACGAGACTATTATTCTCCACATCCAGTTGTCAATCAACGATTCCATCAACGTTGCCAAATACCTTGTCGCGATGCAGCTCTGGGAGAAGTTCGGCTGGTGGCCTAGGTTGCACACCTTCCAGCTTGTACAAAACTTTCGTCATCTTCGGTTTACAGAACCTGTTACGACTGCTCAAACCCTCGAACCAGTCGATTTCGTCGTTACGGTATAAAAAGAGCCCACCTCTGTGTCAATTCAAGAGCAGTGACGAGCAAGGGATGTGCAAGCGGATTGCAAGTGATGTGCAAGCGGATTGCAAGTGATATGCAAGGGTGTGCGAGGTATGTGCAAGTGTAGTGCAAGGAGTGTGCAGAGTAACATGTCAGAGACGTGCAAGTGCTGAACTGTCGTTAGCTGCTTTCATCAGACACGCAACAAAGTTTTGCTTCAAGCATTCGGAAAATTGTGTAGAGCCCGAACATCATGGATTGGGCTGCTTCTGACGTGCTCGACAACATCTTGATGTACGTGTTGCCGATCAGAACCAGAATCACATTCATTACCCGTCTCGATCCAAATGATGACCCAGAAGAGGCACAACCCATAACCGACACCATGGTGGCGTACACTTTCCTGCGACGTGGGATACAGGAGTTTCGACTGTCCTCATCGGTTGAGTGGACCATGGGCTTTCAGTCTTTGCATACCACCATCCGTTTTGCACAAATCAATGCCGCGGCATGCGCCATGTTGAGCAGCCCGTCAAAAAGGTGGATGAGAGCTGTTGTAGACCTAGTACAGGAACGTTTGCGAGTGAGTATTGTGTCACTGGCCAGCGTTGCGTACCAAACTGCAACTCAGTGTTGCATGTACTTCGATGCTGATGCGGAAGAAGCAGAAGTTGAATTGCACTTAGTGCATAGACTGCGCTTCCTGAAGTTTCGTAGCCCACTCTCCTAGGTTTCTTGAGCATAAGACTCTCCCATGAAATTCAGTGAAAAATCAGCAAAGGATGTGCAAGGGACGCGCAAGTGACGTGCAAGGGATGTGCAAGGGATGTGCAAGCGACGTGCAAGTGCTGTGCAAGCTCCTGCAATGAGCCCGGTCGGGCTTGTGTGTGTCCAACCCTGTTTCGAAGGGGAGATAAACATGTCGTTATTGAGCAGGGGGTGCCAGGGATGCATGCTGGACTGGCACCAACGAAGACGCCAGCATTGCATCTGTGAAGCGAGTCAGGACGCTGACTCGTGTACCTGCAAAAGCTTGTGACATACTCCATCGTGCAAGCTGTCCACTGTTTTCCTTTTCATATTCGCTGTATACTGCTTCAAGTCCGACTGCCAGAGCATAGAGTGGAGTTCGTGTGCAAGGTTACAGGTGTAGCTTGGCTTTTCTCGCTAGTAAGACCGACAAGGAAATCATAGCTGACTCTTCTGACTTTGAGAGTGTGATTCGAGACCTGCGACACGATGTGTCAAGTGTGTGTGTGTGTGTGTTAGCAGGTAGGTCTGCAGTTAGGTAGGTAGGTGGAAGTAAGTAGAGAGGTATGTGGAGAGGTAGGTAACGAAGTAGATGGAGGCTACAGGGCGGAGAGGTAGGCAGGTAAGCAGGTAGCCACAGCTACATCTTTTTACGCGAGTTGTGTATTTATGTGGTTGTGTGTATAGTGTACGAATGAGTGTGTGTATATATATATATATACATATGTTGATTGTACTCATATAGATATAAACATTCACATATATGCATATGTGTATATATACATGTATGTATGTATATATGTACATGTATATGCATATGCTTATGTATGTGTATATATAATATATATATATATATATATATGTATGTACAGAGTACGAACATGCACGAATTTGTGCATGGATGTATGTACACGGGCGGATGTTTCGGCGGGCCCTGAGTTGACCAGTTTCGACGGCCCGTGTCATGTTGCGAGGTTTGGGTGTACCACTGTCGGATTGAGTTCATGCCGCTGGACGAGCTCTGCAAGGCCTCCAGCGTTTGTTGGCGCATGTCCGGAGCGAATCTGAAGAACCAGGGCCTCAGAGAAAAGTTGCAGCAGCTGACAGCTTTCGGCAGGCCGTGCCTTATGTGGCGGTCTCGGCTCTTGCTCACCAGAGCTTATATTAGCTGGACATCTTGCTCGCAGTGCGGTCGATTGCTACCAAGCTGTCTTTCCTGCGATGTTAAGGTCACTCGGGAACGGCCAGCGGCTTATGCGCACCGGGATTTAGGGTTTTGGGACCTGGAGTTTAAATTTGGGCGCTCCGGTAGCGGGCTTCAGCAATCCCTGATGGCAACGGCGAGGAAGCGCCTCACGACTCAGGACGATGATGGTGTCGATGACGATGAGCTATTATGGTTGACCGTGACTGCCCTGACTGCACTGTATGACCCGGCCATCGGCTCCGATCCCTTTTTTGTGCTGCTGTCCAGCTCACAGGTAAACTGTAGAGGGTAGGCTAAGCCCTAAACCTCCAAGACGCAACTTCTCCCGTGATGTGCAGGGGCCAGACAACTAGTTTGAGCTCGGGCGCTGGTTGTTCGCATCTTGAGGAAGTGCAGATCCGTGCGGAGAGCCTTGCCACAGGACTGCGTTCGCGTGTGTCCTTGAATTTGGTGGAGGACCAGGATGCTGCCGAGCACATGGCACGCTACCTGACGTGGGCGGCCCAGGCGCCCAAGGTGCCCAAGGCGCAGAGAAATGCCAAAAGGCAGAGCCCCGAATCTCCCGAGCGATCCCGTCTTCGCACGGGAGCAGCCTCGGGTGTGGCTGTGGCTGCAGAGGTCCTCAGCCAAGCGATGGTGGCCATGAGCAGAATGCACGACAGGTTCGACCGACTGAATGTCGCCTTTCAGGATCTTGAGAGGAACGGTGGGATGGCCTCTGCCTTCAACGGAGAACGACCCATAGCGGTCGACAGTGCAGCGCGCGCCTCCGAAGCCACCGTTCAAGCAGCAGAGTGCTGCCACGCAGCACTAAAAGCGCTCCCAGTATCCACAGTCTGGGTGGAACTGCCCGATCCCATCAGCACAGCCGATGCACTGGAAGCAGCCGCAGCTATCCTGAAGAATGGCAGACTACAGCTTGCGGAGCTTGAGGCCTTCCAGGTCGTCACGTTGAATCGAATTGAGGCCCAGGCCAAGAGCGCCAGCTACCGAAGTGGCCCAGGCGACTTTCCAGTTGCTGGTAGTCCCTTCACTATGGCCATCACCGAGTTCCCTTGTGGCCCGAAGCTGTGCAGTGCTTCAGGGACTTATCTTTGGAGTGAGGCTCGGGGGTTACTCAAAGCTTTCGCCGGTGCTCACCAGATTGACAGGGAATTTGGCGCCAGCATCTTGAGCGAAGTCTTCCATGTTTTCGACGATCTCATCGATGGGCTGGCACGCATTCTTGAAGAGTTGATCTGCTTGGAAAGTGAGACCGACTCGATGTGTCCTGCTTTGCTGGGCGCTGCTCAGGTTCAGAAGGACCTGTTGGAATGGAAGCTTACCCTGCTTGATGATGAGGTCAGCCAAACACAGCAGTGCAAACTGATGGAATTCGTGGAGGTAGTTTTGGCTGTGGGCGATGCATTGCAAGCCGCCATCGCGCAGCTGCGTCGGAGACGGCAACACGTCGTGGAAGGCATGAAGGCTTCTATTGAAATCAAAGCAGCTATGATGCCCGCCACGGAAGGAGAAGCCCCGCAGTCACAGCTCTTTGCAGACTGAGCTGAATGCTGACGAAGGCGAGCGAACGTCTTTTAAGAAGCCCTTCGCCAAGAGTGGGTACAGTGATATAGTTTGCTCAGCTGCCAGCGCCATTTTAGTTGAATTCATGAGAAGCAGCCCTCTTGTACAGTTGGCTGCGGGCGACGATCGTTTCAGCGTCTTCTGTAAAGCACTAGCGGCACAAACAGATGCTTTCATTTTGTACAGACTGCCGCTAGAACCTGGTTCTTGCACACAAACTGTCCAGACTGGATGACCTCAGCACTTATCTCGCAGAAAGCACAACCAAAGCACATGCGACGCTGCGCATTGGTCGCCATGCCCTTGCAAGCTGAAGTTGAACAACATCTGCACCCAGGCTGAAGAACTTCGTCGAAACAACGGTCGTTCGTGAGCTGAAGTGCGCCCACCACCACTATCGGTCTTCTAGCAGCTCTCACGCCACTTTTGGCTCCAAGAGCACTGCCTTTTGATGTGGATGTTGCGCTCCTACCCTGAACACGAAATCCTACAAGCTCGAAATTCTAAACCTGTCCCCGGCCAGGAAGCAGCTGAGCAAGATCATCAGTGAAGCCAAGGATGTGAAGGTCAAGGCGATGTCCGCATGGACGCCGACGGGTTGAGATCTGCTTCGACTAGTGGATTGCAGATTCGTTTGCACGTGGCTACATTCTACTACTAGAGCATATTAGAGCCTCTAAGCTGATATTTTGAACCGAACCAGCGCCGGTCCACGTCCCAGGTGGCAAAGCGAAGCAAAGCTGCTGCAACTGGCACCGGCGACACAGGCCGCATTGGGACACGAACACTACGACGACCAGAAAAGCACAACCAGCAGCATCGGCCCTGCGGCATGGGCAATCACTTTCACAGGTTCTCGGCATTATCACCATCGCCAACACCCCCACTGTCGCTGTCCTCTCCATCCACCTCGTCATCAATCATCATCCTCGTCCCGTCATGCTAATAATCAGCCCCGTCCCCAGGCGGAGATGCGCCAGAAGCAGCTGAGGCTGAGGACAGGTTGATGTGTGGACATGGCACTTCAACTCTAGTTGCATCCCCATGACCGGCTTGGAGACCATGGCTGAAATTGCATTGAAGCCACTATGCCCATGACGGGCAATCAGATCGGCGATCATGAGCATGCTGGTGATGTTGACTGACAGGCTGGTGACGACGACGATGACGACGATAATCGTGATGGTTTTCATGATCATCATGATTTCATGATAGTGCTGATGCCGTTCTAGGCTTGGGGTCGAATGTGTGGCCTATGTTATCTTGCGTTGTTCACGGCTTTTTCTCGGGTCGACATGCGGCAGGCTACAATGGTGGGTTTTCTGTTCTTAGTTGTGTGTGTGTGTTTAGGGCACCATGCAACGAAGCAAGGATCCCGGTTAACACGTATGTACTCAAATGGTTCAGCAGCACGCGTGAGACGATTCACTCCCAACAAGTGCACCATGGACAGAAACAAAGGCATCAATGGACCAGCAGCTGGATATACATACATATAATGTTACACATATATATGTATATATGTAGGTGTATAAGTTGAGGGATTTGGGATCGCAGCTCTGCAGTTGGAACGATTTCTCTCGTTCTCACGTTGCAGAAACTCGCACTTCTCGTCCCTGACCTCCAGACTCCAAGCCCAACAGCATCTTGTAGACTTCAAGCCTAATGCCCTAATATAGGGGCCTAGTAGTTACCTATACTATTTGGTGGCTCCTCATTTTCTTTTACTGGTAGTCTACAATGGACCCCAAAACCCTATTCTCATTATTAAGGCCCCTGTATGACAGCCCTAGAAACCCGGGAGATCTCAGAGCCCTCGAGCTTACAAGGGGGAGGAGGCCGAGGAGTCCGACAAGAAGGCCAAGAAGAAGAGAAGCCTGGGCCCAAGCTCACATAATCAAGTTATCATAATGGGGGTCTACAGCAAAATAATAATGCCGTTCCTGAACATGGTAACTTCAAGTAAGTCCCTTACAAAGAACAGGAGGCAGGGGGTTAGGGGCTTCACTTGGGCTTGCTTTAGAGTTTAGACGTCATTCCGGAAAGCTCTCTGTGCGCGCGTGTGACTTGATTGTAGGCAGTAGACTGTAGACTTTCGGATGCTTGGATACTAGCTGACCAGGAAGAATTCTTGGAGCGGAAGACAAGGCAGAGGCACCCTGGCTCGCAGCGCACAGTCTCATTGATAATTGATAATCCTAAACCCCAAGAAAAACCGTGCGAACTACTCTGCTCCTTTGATGGGTTTCCTTTTGGTCCAGGCTTGGTGATGTTTCGATGGGAAGTCTAAGCTTGTTTGGAGTTCTGAGTTTGAGAGCAGAGGGGCTACTTCGAACCTTACTGTAGCTGCGTGCCGCACCTTATGAGGACTCGAGTCTTCATTCCGTTTACAAACTTCTTCTTGTCCGGGGTCCTCGTAACAGGCTCTACCTACTAGGTATTCCGACTGTAGCAGGGAGGAAAAGGGCCCTCAAAAAAAAGAAAAAAAGAAAAACCGTGTGCCTGCAAAGAGTCCCGCTAGGAGGAGGAGCGAGTTGCAGATGCGATGGACGCAGAGGCTTCGACACAGGGACTCGCCCTGATACATGCCTCGCATCGATAGCCTAAAAAGAGCCGCGCAGGCTGACGGAGGCGATGAGGAGGAGGAGAGCCTGTCTTCAGGCAGACTTGGTTCAAGCGAGTCCGCGCCTGACAGAGCAGCTGCCGACGAGGCTTCTACACCTCGGTTGAAGGGGATGATGAAGAGCTCTTGGCTGCAACAGGGGCTTGCTCGGAGACTGCCAGCACGTCGTGTCTTATCTGTGGGCCGTCGCAACCTAAGGAGAAGGCTATCGAAGATCCTGATGAACAGGAGTTGGAAAAAGCAGAGGGGATCAAGGCCAAGCAGAGCAGTGGGTCAGACAACCATTGAGGGGATGTTCGACTGGGATGTTGACGTGCGCTTTGGAATTCGGACCTGCCCACCTGATCGCATTGCGTGTCCGATGCCCGGCATTCTAACTGCCTCTAGATAGACATGCTCCACTGTGTCATCGCAGAGCAGCGGTAACGGGTTGTAGCAGCTGCCAAGTGCTTTCGGGGTTTGTCGTATACTGCAGGGCAATGAGGAGGAAGACGGAGAAGGCGCAGATGAGGCCCGGATGTGCCGCTCGATGTTTTCCATGTGGTGCGGCATTGATATGAAAAGGTTGGGTTGAGGGGATTTGCTGAGAGTTGGATTCGGGGCTATGGCTCTGTGCTTGGAAGCCCGGGCCAAGGAGAAGCCAGCAAAAGATTTGGATGAGGAGCAAGAGTGTGAGGAAGATGCTCCGGCCGAGGCAATGCATCCAACGGTCCCCCGCAGCCCCAAAATCCAAATGCCAATATCCGAACCTTCATATGGGAGTTTCCGAAAACAGGGGACGCTAATATGGTACCCTAAATAGTAGGATCCTTATTATAAAGACCCCAAAATAAGGTACCCCTAATTTTCGGAAACTCCCATATGGTTGTCGACCATTTTATCACAAGCAAACTATGTAATTCCTCTGCTCTGCTCCTCGAGGATAGTTTGGATTTATGTTTGAGGGTGCGGGGCTCAGGGCACCTTCGGCTGTGGACAGCTGATGGCTGGGGTCCTTTGTACAGTAAGTTATGCACGGATCCCGAGTTTTGGCAGCAAGCTCATGTTGAATTCGACACTCTGAAGGGAGCAATATCTTTCAGAGCTTGAAAATAATGAAACAAACGACCCCGAAGAGCCAACAAAGCCAAGCACTGATCATTACAACTAGGACAGAAGCCGCACAAAAAATGATGCCAAAGGAGTACCCTCAAACTCTCAACACCCCAAACCATAAGCCTATGTGACCCCGAAACACTAAACCCTAAATGCGCACATGGCTTCGTCAGGGTGGTGACGACATGACGTCCCCGAAGGCTCGGCAGTCGCCGCGTGACCTTGAGGGAGTTAGAATTGGAATTACTATACGGCTTGCAGGGGAAGCGCGCCAAAAAAGGAGACACGGGTGGAACGAAGGTGCACAGACCCGCATGCATGAATCCCTGAAACACACCATTGCAGTGACCTTATGTCGCCATTTGAGGAGGAGCGGGAGGAAGATGAGAAAGACGGCGGCTCTGGAGGTGCCTCGGATTTTCAGTTCATTAACTTCGGATAGCGGGTTGGAGTGGAGCGGCGTCCAGCTTGTGAAGTTGCATCTTATGCACCCGCCGTGCATCTGTGCATGTATAGAAACGCCCACATCCGCAGAATGCCAGCTCTTTGATACTGCTAACTGCTAAATGAGGTTCTACTATTCACGTCTTGACCATGCACCAAATCTGTAAATTCTGTACATGTCTGCATCTATGTAATCTATGTACATGCAAATCTATCTCCATGTATCTCCATACATAAGCATACATATACATACATGTACTTACATACGCATACATATACATGCACATACACATGTAAGCATGCATACATGCTCGCATACGTAAACATATACATAACCATACACATACACATGCACACATACGTATGCATATACATGTACATATATACGGACACATACACATACAAGCATACATACATACATATATAAATGTTGCGTCTGTGTGTCAGCATATACATGTGCAAACGTGTGTGTGTGTGTGTGTGCGCCTCATCCATGCATGCATGCATGTATACAAATATATATATATATATATATATATATATAAATATAAATATATATATATATATATATATATAGATAGATATCCTAGGCACCGCTCTCCTTCTTGATCTGCTTGTGCGATCTTGCGTGTGTATGTGTGTGTGTGTTTGTCTGTTTGTTTGTTTTTGATGCAACCATGCGAGGCATGCAGAAGGCCAAGACCAGCACCCAGGTGCGATTTCGTGCATCCAAGCTCGCAAGTTCAGATTGGATTGGGATTTGATTGGTTGAATCAGATGGCCTTGGGGAGGCAATAGGGATCCCTGCTTCAGTTTTCCTTATCAAGAGTCACGAGTCTGACAAAAGGACCTATGCTTCGGAGCGGATTTTGATGCCAGGGCAGAGGGAAGTTGTGAGTTTCAGGATTTTGGAGATTAGTTTCGTGCTGAGGTTCGGAACATGGTCCAGGCCAGTTTCAGGCCCAGGCCTGCAAGAATCGGTCTGAAAATGCCCACGTCGACTCCACCCCCGACACTGACAGACCCGCGTCCCGACACTGACGCAGCTTTGCGGAAATTATACCCCTCTGATCCGAAACCCCGGCAGCTTATCCGAAATTAGAACCCCGAAACTACGAGCACCCCAGGCCAGAGGTTTGTTGCCGGCTTCACAAGCACGGCTAACGTACTACAACGACGTCCGCACTGCACTCTTTCAACAGGAAGGCTCGAAAAATCGGAAGACCAAGACCGGCAGCAGCGTCTCCGCCTCAAACGCTGGACTTGGTCTTGCCGAGCCTTGTTACAGTTTGGTGGCAAAGGCGCGACAGCTCGGAGACAAAGCAGCTTCCTTGCAAAAGCAGGCGGAGAAGGACCTTGCCGAGGCAGCAGCCAAGACACCTTGTTGAACTCAGTTGTCAGAGCCCCGAAGTCAGCCAAGAGCCTTTGATTTGCGCCAGGCTTTGAAGGAGGACAACTTGGTTTGGCGATCAGAGCTGAGGGGCGATTCGCAAAGACCTCAGATTTGCGTGGCAGCGAAGATGTTATGCGGCATGTTGGGTATGGCTGGGTTTGCTCGAGTGCTCTGTTGCGTACCCCTTCTCGTAAGCATGTACTGCCCTATGGCACAGTACTTGGCAGAACAGCCGGAGAGTGGGCTGTGGCGCCCTGGACAGCCTGCAAGGATGTCGATCATCGTGAACCACAACCATTCCCAGCGAGCAGCTCAGGGCTTCTGCTGGATTCTTTGACATGTTATTGTTGCATATCGGTGTCTCTGGTACTACTTGTGGTAGTGCTGTCGCCGTCAGCATCCAAGGTGCCCTCACAGTCTTTTCGTTGGGGAGGTGCGAGCCTGTGCTGCTGGAAACTGTCGTTCAGGATTTCGAGGTGCAGGCACTTGCGTTCGCTCGTCACATGATCTGGATGTTCCGGCGAGGTGTTGCGAGGAGTTCTGTCTACCGCAACATTGCAGGACATTCGCGTGTTCGCTCATCTTCGCAGCACATCAGGGTGCGAAAACGCCTTTCGCCTGATGCAAACCCCTCCCAGGATCCTGCGTGCGACGGGGTGGAGGCAGTTCATGTGAAAGTTGAGAACGACAAGGCGCTGTCGTCGAATGCTTCTTTGAGTAGATTGGTTCAGGCAGTGGCACTGGCGCTTGAAGTGTAAACGGGCATTCCATTGGTGTGTCAGTTTGTTTCCATGCTACAGGAAGACATAAAAGTGGGCTATCGATGTGACAGGTGCTGGTAGCACGCAAGACGAAGAATCGGTTCCGATCGTATCAGTTGCAGAAGTCCAAGGGTTGTGCCCTAACTCTAGGCCTTTCGTGCAGGTCTTCGTTGTCGGGAGCCTTGCAAATTTCCCAGATCTCTGGTGGTTTGCGTGAGTCTTCATCGTACCGTTGGCTGTCGTCCGCCCCGCCTTCTTACCATTGCTACTCTGTTGCTATGATGTCGTCGCTGGCAGGTGAGCCTGGAGTGCGAGGGAATCAACCTCTTCGGCCTACTGTGCTTGCCTCCCACACTTGCACCTCAGAAGCAGGAGACAGAATAGGTGAGCCCCCAGGCAGTCTTCGTGCTGGCTTCCACCTCCCAACCTCTCCGCCCCGGCGACACCAAAGCCTTGAGAACTCTAGGCCCTAGGCTCCTCGAATGGCTCAGGTAGCACACAGCCAGATCTACACCAACAACCTCAGGACCGCCCAATCTTGCAGTCTGTGAAAATCGCTTTGAGGGTTCACCGCTTGGGGCCCCGGGGTGCGGAGCGATGCCTCACACAGATTGCAGTACGGAGCTTCTTCAGCAGAATAGGGTATTACACCATGATTAAGATAGGGAATCCCCAATTAGTACAGGTAATGATTAAGGCCCCTATAGTCACCCCATGTCAGCGATTGGTTCACCACGCCTTCTCAGCTTCTGATAGGCACGTCCTGGAGACTTTTGGGGTTGAAGCTGCACGTGCATCGGCACCTCGTCCTGGCAAGAGGCAGCACAGCAACTCGTGCAGTATGTACTCCGTGCAAGTATACCAAAGTTGCTTAAAGCTGAACCTGAGGTCGTCCGAGAAGTTCGCGGTGTCTTTGGCCACTACGGGATTCAGGCATTGAGCATCGCCGAGCTCCGTAGATATGCCTCTGACATGGTAATGTCCAAGATAATGGGATTGTCTGTTGTGAAGAGGTCGATCACCGCCACCTGTCGCTGATTGCAGACTACATGGCCCAAGCGGGCGGCTTGCGGCCGTGCTGCCGGCCTGGTTACGCACTGCCCTGCACTCATTGAACAGAGTTGGTCAGCCACATTCAGCCAGGTTCAATCGTATGGGGATGGTACATTGTGGCGATCTCGGCTCTCTAAATCTGGCAGAGGTGGTTTGAAGCATCAGATGGCAGATGCCCAGGTACGTCGCCACTTCTGCAGATGTCCTACGAGACGACCATGCAGTTCTTGTCTGGCGCGTGCAAGGCTAGCTGCGCTTTCTCGGTCCCGACCACTGTTGCGCCTTCGAAAAACCGCGCTTCGTCCACCAGGAAGATTTGCTCGACAACATGATCTCGCCCGCAAGTGCTATCGTGCTTGGGCAGCCTCCTGCTGTCGGCACTGGCGTGGCCATGACCCCAGGTCAAGCTTCAAAGGACAGTCCTGAGTTTGGATTCGAAGAGAGTCTGACAATTCTCAGTTATTCTCGCCATCTATCGTACCGGATAGAAAGCTTCATGCCCATGCATCAGCAGTATCAGCACATCTCATGCTGTTGTTGTGTTCATTGCCTGCAAAGGTGAATCTGCTGGTAGATCTGGATCCACCAGTGCAGCCCTCAGAACCAGCTTTGCAGTCGTGTGAATCCGTTCACTGCGCGTGATAGCTTCGGCGAGTGACGGGTAATGACGGGTACTTTCTATGCGGGTCTTTATCATGATGTTGGTTCCTACATCAAACAGGGTCCCCTACCCTCCGAAACATGCATGTTCTTCAGGATCCACCATGGAAGAAGCAGAGGCGCTTTAAGTTCCCCATGTGAATCGGCCAAGTCCAAATCCAAGTCTCAGAGGTTGCTGCTGGTAGTAGTGCCTGGTCCCACTGATGTTCACACGAACCCTGCGACTTCGCATTTGGGCAGAAATGCTGGTTGCAGCTGCCGGTGAAATCGGCAGCCTAGGACGGCCAGCCATGTACATAAAGGCAGCTTAGCATCCATTGCTTCAGGTGCACAAACGGGCATCAGGGCTGGGTTTGACAGTCATTTCATTCATGTCAGCAGGGTTCACCCTGATAGACTATCGCTTGCTAGGAAGAAGTAGGTAGTAGGGAGTGGTACGGGACTGCACCGTACGGTCTTTGATTGCTGCTGTGTGGGGATGATTGAGATCAATCGAGGTCTGCCACAGCTTGATCGAAGTGTTCAATGTCCTGGCACAGGTGATCTATCCGGATCTCTCCAACATGAATTAGTAGGAAGAGTCTACCGCAATCTGAGCAGTGTTCTCGGCAATTTACCGTCACCGCGTGCTACAGCTGTACAACTATCACTAGGATGCAACGCAAATACACAAACTCTCAATGCAATGTCATGGAGCCAGATCATGGGCCAGTGGAGCCCGAGCAAGTCTGGTCGTTTGAGACGTTGTGCACCTCCGATTGGAGACGCTTTCGCACCGCGTACCTTGGTGCTTCCCTCAGAGCAAGTTCAAGAGAAAGTGTCTTGTTTTTGCAATGTGGGTGTAGATGTATGCAGGGTCAGAGAGGAAGTTGGGGGGAAAAATCTTGTTCGTGTAGGAGGGTCTGTCGTCCAAGCAGTAGCAGCAGTAACATCCGGAGGTGCAGCAGCATTACTATATTGCTGTATTGCCATATTGCTATGTTACTAGAGGTGCAACAAAAGGCAGCAATAGGAGCCATCATCGAAAGAGTAAGGAATTCCGGGAGGACCAGCAGCGACAACCGCAGCAGTCGCAAAACTCGTTGACACTATGGTGCTGTGTTTGGGAGTAGTAGGAAGGAAGAGAAGGATTAAATTAGCAAGCTCAAGACCGAAATTGCGATGGAGACTGTAGGTACACTAGCAGTGCTAGGAGTTGTTGCAGTAGTTGCAGCAGCAGTCGTAGTAGTGGTCGCAGTAGTCGTGGTACTAGCAGCAGCAGCAGCAGCAGCAGCAGCAGCGGCAGCAGCGGCAGCAGGAGTAGAAGTGGTAGCTGTGCTGCTGCTGCTGCTGCTGCTGCTGCTACAAACACTATGAATAGTTGCTACTGCCACTACTACTACTACTACTACTACTACGACGACGACGACGTCTGCGTCCACGTCTACTTCTACTTATACGGCGATCACTAGCTGTGGATGTGCCTGTGGTCGCACGATTGCTGGCCGCTGACTGATGAATGACAGTATCACGAAGATATTCAGGTTTTAGGCATGTGCAGGTGCTATGCGGGACTCTCCCGATGCGTTTACCGCAAGCTTGGAGACGGAAGAGGCGCATCTCGTGGAGAAGTGGCAAGAGCGCATCCAACAAGGTGCCTCGGCATGAAGTCTTATGCCACTCTGCTTTAACATTGATGTGGGCGGGACCTGCCTAGGTTCATGTTGAGGGGTGCTGTCAGTGCATACGAACTTGGTCGATTTCCATCGCCATGTCAACAAACAGGACCCTCGTGTGCAAACACTTGCCAGAGCAAATCTTGGATGCAACCTCACTTGTTTGCAAGGCGTGGTCGTCTCTTGCGCCTCCGCTGGACGCGATGTCGGCTTTGCCTGGGTTGTGCGGAGAGGAGGCTGGCATCCGGAAGCACTGCATCAAGGCTCTAGTTGCAAATTCTGACACAGACCGGGACGGTAGGGAATCTAAGTTTTCTCATTCGCGACCGCTGAGTCTGAGTGTCCGTCATGCAGGGCAATGCAGTGTAGATGAATCAGCCACAGTAGCCCTTGCATGATCACAAGATCACCTGTCGGATCACTGAGCTGCTCACTATGCTGTAGTACATGCCTGAACTCTGAACTGCAGATGCGGTGACCCTGGGCTTGTGGGTTGCTCCGGAGCACCGTTGCCGTGGGATTGGATCTGCACTTCTGGCCGCTCTGTGCATAAGATTCAGCAGATGGCCCGTGATGCACGGCAAAGTCTGAGTGAGGCTTCTGTGTGCCAAGGATGCAGCTATTCAATGGGCACGCAGCGTGGGAGCGAGAAGGGTCTCACTGAATGTCGCAGACGGGACCGCGCAAGGGAAGTGCTGGGATCACGGTCATGCAGTACCGTACTGTCAACTAGAAACGTTCAAGGATGTTTCAGGCTCAGGGCTGAAGCATTGGCACGGTAGCTTCAGAGTCCCATTCGGATGTTGGGTGAAATTTTGGGACCCCTCGGGGCTGTTGCTACAGTCATGGCAACTCGCACGCCGAGCTTTCAAGTCTTAGATGAAGGGGTCTCGGCAGCCCTGAACGAGAGGAACGATGCTGCCATGCGGTTATACCAGAGAATGGGATTCCAGCGCAACTTGACAAGCAACACTCAGCGTGCAAGTATCATCGGCCTAGAGGTTGAAGGCCTGCTGGAGGTGTAGGTTATAGAAGGACCACGACTGCACGATTGCGTTTGCTCGCAAGGCACAGGTGCCATCGCAGCCCTTCCACCTCCACGGGACCACATCTCGAAGCACCAGTTCGCCTTGGACCTCTAAGCCTCCACGGCCGCGCTGAGCACTCGCCGCTGCTGGCATCACTTCAGGCCATAGTAACCAAAATCATACAAATACTGTCAGGAGGGCGGAGATGCTTTTCACGCGTTTTTTCTTCGGAGGCGCCGCGGAGTGTCGTCGCGGACGTTCCCGATCTGCGGCGACTCAACTCTGAGGCGGGGCTCAAGCAGTGCGCTCTCCCGGCCGAACCCAGTTTTGCGCCCCGGTTTGGCCGATGGCTTCTTTCTGTGCCCACTGCAACGGAGGGAGAGCCGGGGTCAGCCCTTTGGCTCTGAGAATGACAACTAGTAAGACGAGTACCCTTGCAAACTAAGCGTATAGAAGGAGCTGCATCTCTTCGTGACTTTCAGCCATGTACCGTGCCTTGCGCGGAGTCCGATCCTTTGCGCCGGCCTGTGCCGTGTTCGGTGTAGCGACACCGAAGCTCGTGCAGCAGAAATCCAGAGCTCCCGCCGAAGCAGATGGACCGCGGCAGTGCTTCCGTCCCACATCGTGGACAGCATCTTCGCCTGTCCGTTGTGAAGCAAGCACCGGAGCGGGAGCATCGAGGGCCCTGTATCCGGAACTGACGCCATACCAGACAGGAGCCCTGACAACTGCAGACGGCAAGCATCAGCTGTATTACGAAGTCTCAGGCAATCCACAAGGCAAGCCGGCCCTCTTCCTGCATGGAGGACCTGGTGACGGTTCCAGTTCGAAGCATCGGCGGCTGTTTGACCCGTCCGTGTATCGAATTGTCGTCTTCGACCAACGGGGCGCTGGAAAGTCCGAGCCCGGAGGTTCCTTGGAGGAAAACACCGCACAGGCCTTGGTCCAAGATATCGAGCAGCTGAGGCAGTTTCTGGGTATCGAAGAGTGGGGCCTCGTTGTCGGCGGCAGCTGGGGATCCACACTTTCCCTGTTCTATTCCACGATGCATCCGTCAAAGGTGAGAGGCCTAGTGCTTTACTCGATCTTTCTTCCGAGTTCGGAAGCGGTGAAGTGGCCTTACAGCCGTGAGGGAGCCGGGCTCTTTTTCCCTGAAGACTACGAGGCCTTTCTCTCACTTTTGCCGATCGAAGAGCGATCGGATCCCATTGGCGCCTATGCAAGGCGCTTAAGCTCCACAGATCCCACGGTCTGCTACCCGGCGCGCAGCAGCTACACGAAATGGATCATGCGGCTTCTGGGCCTGCAGCCAGACGAGGACTTCATCGCCAGCTGCGCTGCGAATCCCGCGGAAGCTGGCCCAGGATCGGTCGGTTTAAAGAAGGTTTGAAACAAGGTATAAGCAAGAGGAAGACGAAGCAAAGGCTAGTCAGTCAAACAGCGCATGAGCACCAAGCAGATCCAAACTCGTGCCGCATGTTTCCAGCAAGGGTTGGGAATAAGACAGATTTGGTGATGTTCACGTCTAATGTGTTTCTCTCTCGTCTCCACAGGATCGGCCATTGAGCTCCACTACATGAAGCACGGATGCTTCATGGATTGCAGCCAGCTGCTTGAGGACTGCTGGCGCATTGCGCATCTTCCCTCTGCGATAATACACGGTCAGAACGATGTGTTGTGTACGCCCTCCAATGCGTGGACATTGCGCAAGCGGCTGCCTTTGGCATCCTTCTTGATGGTTCCAATGGCTGGTCATTCATCCTCGATGGCTCCACAGCTGCGTTCTGCTGTCATTGATGCCATAGATTCCTTTCGTTGACGGACGCACCGCACATGGATTCGATGCAAAAAGCTATCAAAAAGCTAGCACCGGGCCTCTCCAGACACAGCTGCTTGTCGATCTCGTGTACTGCTCGACCCCAGCTGTCTCAGCGTTTCAACGCTCCCAAATCGCCAACTTGTGCCCTGCTTGTTGAAGCCAACTCATGCAGGTCTCCTCTCCTTGCTTCCTTGGGCTGGCCAGCGCCTACAGCCTGGCTGCGGAGCGAAGGATGAGACAGAGATGACAGCATGAAAGCAGCGCCTGAAAAGCTAAAGCTCATGTCCAGTGCGCCACTCCGCTTGATGCTTCTCCCTGCCGTGTTCGGTGTCGGATCGCGTCTCAAAGCAGGCATCCTGAAGTTTTGGCTCTCAAGTTTTGAACTGGCTCGCCAGACTTAGATAGGTTACAGGTGCCCTTAGCTCAGGTCGTCGCGGCTTGGATTGCAACTTGCAAGTCCTCCGGAATGCGCTTACAAGCCCTTCTCCAGTCAATGGTCTCATGTAACATATGGGTAGCTCTCAAAGTTAGGGTCCCTTTTTGGGCTACCCTGAATATGAGGTGCCGTATTATCATATTAAGGACCATAAAAGGGACCCTAGTTTTGACATCCGCCCATAAAAGAGAAGCATAGTCATGCTACAGTCCAATGTGATGACGGAAGAGAACAGAGTAGAATGGAATGGAAACAAGCTGCCTATGGTACACGATAGCAGCATGCAGCATGGAATAAATACAGTATCGAAAAACGAACATAGTCAAACACAGCACGATCGGCCACAATACAATGCAACACATTAGAATAGAGTATGATATAACCTGCGATAGCTAACAACATATAGCGCAGAATCGTATATGGTTAACATAGATAAGATGAGATATGATGTGAATTTTGAGATAACGGCGTAAAATATGATGCGATCGAATACAATATACTGTACTGCAATCCAGTATAGTAGAATGGAGCACCACAAAACATCCTGCAATACAAAGCATTGCAGTACAACATACTTCACTATAAGTACAGTATAATGTCATTTTAATGACAAATCACAGTAAAATATATTGCTATACTATGACTATGGAACACAGTGGACTATAACATCATTGGTTAGCATGTAGTATAGCAAGATATGCAATAGTATCTTGCAATATGCTAGTATCATATAAGGCACTAGGAAAGGAAATAATTTCAGTATAAGTATTAGAAATTCAGCGCAATAGCAATATACATGTACTTTCTTTTTCATTGCAGCACAATGTGGCAACACAACATATTATAATGTACCTGGTGTATTGTAATGCAAAGTAATGAAATACAATATGAGGCGAAACGGTGGTTAGGTACTGTTTATTATCTCATGTGTAGGTGTACACAGGTACATCTACACGTACGTATACAGCATCACAAATACAGGGATATGTATGTATACACACACCCACAGGCATTCTCTCTTTGTCTCTTTCTCTCTCCCACTCTCTGTCGCTGCTCGTATCTCTCTCTCTCTCTCTCTCTCTTGCTCTCTGTCTCGCTTTCTCTTGTTGTTTGCCTGCATGTCAGCACGGGTGGCACCAAGAACAGTCGACGAGTCTGCAAGTTCACTGCTCGGGCCCCCGCCGTACCAGCCGTTCCGCCCGTCAAACCTTGGCCAAATACCCTGAGCCGAGGACCTCCCAGACAGGAGCCATGCCTCCAAAGAAGCCAGCCGGAACTAAAATGTCGATGGCGGTGGCCTGTCGGCAAATCCTAAAAAGGTTGAGCTCACTGGCATTTGCAAACAGTTTCAGAACAACCCTCTGACTAAGGAGCTGAACTCCAAGTTCGGTGGCAGTGTTGCCGTGACCCAAGCGAGAATCCTTCCTTCTCCACTGAAAGCTGGGAGACTCTGAGACTCTGCGCGATGTGCAATCGACAGTGAGCCAGGTCGACCAGATGCTGCCGTCCCAAAGTGTGGGCAAGGACTTCGGAAAATCCAAAGGCAGCCAGCAGAATCCTCCGCTTCCCTGTCTTTAAGCCCTAGGCCCTGAGCCCCCTCAAGCCCTCAAGCCTGAGACCCCATTGAACCCTAAGTTTAACCCTAAACCCTAAAACCCTAAACCCTAACCTGAACCCTAAAAGCCCTAAACTCTAAGCTTTTGCGAGGCAAAGGCTTTCGAGATATCGACGGCGGGAAAGAGGAAGAGTGGAGGAGCTCCGGCCCTCGCAAGGGCAAGGGCAGCCCGATGCACTTAGTATCAGCCGTATTGTTCGGAATACTACTACTGCTACCACTACTACCACTACTACTAGTACTACTACGACTACTACTACTACTACTACTACTACTACTACTACGGTTATTAGTCATGACCGTTGTTAGTGTTAGTCTTACTATTGCTACTGCTGTTAGTAGTAGTCGCCGCAGTAGTACTGCGGGAGCAGGCGGCAGCTGCGGCAGGAGCAGCAGGAGGACCAGGAGGAGCAGGAGGAGGGGGAGGAGGAGTAGCCGGAGTAGTAGGTAGTAGTAGTCGCCGCAGTAGTACTGCGGGAGCAGGCGGCAGCTGCGGCAGGAGCAGCAGGAGGACCAGGAGGAGCAGGAGGAGGAGGAGGAGGAGGAGTAGCAGGAGTAGTAGCGATTATAACAGGATGACGATGATCAGCGTTGTTGTATTATGTTTTTCAATTACCATCAATGTCATTATTGCTGTAATTTCATTTGTATCATCATCTCACTGCTTCAACTATTGGGTATTTACAGACATCATTGTCTGTTTTGTCTTTAGAGTAACCTTTGTCGATCTCTGGCATCACGTGATCAGCGAATACCTGCCGTGCCTTGTTTAGTTTGTCATCCCCCAGTGGCTCTGCATGTAGCAGCCCACATAGTAGCTTCATGAAATGAGGGATCCCCACAGATCTTAAAGATCCTAATTCACCTAAATCAGAAGCATCCTGATAGCAAGAACCCTTAACAGAGCCATGATCACAGGATCCTGAAAGTGGACCCGAACCCCCGAAGCGGCTGACATGTTTAAGGTAAGGGAGACTCTGAGCCCAGCCGCGCAGACACCGGAGACTGGCGAGGGGGTGCCAGGGACCGCCAGGGTATGCCAGGGTCGGGGGGTGATTTTTGGGGATCAGGCCCGGATCAGGGCTTATCGGGCTTAAACGGTTTAGGGCCTCGGGATCAAGGCTTGGGATGGTTTAGGCATCGGGGCTTGCACGGTTGAGGACTTCTAGGATGTCTGTCCTGTGCTTGCGCGGAACTCGACTGCCCCACGAGCCCGAACCCGAAATTCCTTAGCTTGGCTTTTT